CTAAGACCTAAGACAGCATAATATTACTATTACAAAACGGTCAAATGCCTTTTATTCTCCCCTATACAAAATCGACCCAGCCTAATATACATATTAGATATACAACAACAAAAAATCATTTAGTGTTGTTTCAATGGAAATGTATGTATTTAAAATATATAACTTAGCACAGAAAACGATCTTTCAATTAATTTTACTCAGTGTTATATAGATTTTTTACAACAGTAACAAGAATTAATTAAGCGTTTTCAAACTGAGTATTTTTCGTGCAAAATATATATTTAAACATCCTCCTCATAAAGATTTAAACTCTTTTCAAAAAGATTTATTCTTAAAACTTTTTTTTACAATTATCACTAATTTACTGAAATTTTACAGTAACTGCGATTAAGGGTAGACTATAACGGGCCCGTAAAACCAGGTCAGGTAAAATATCTTTGTACTAATGTATGCACAGCTAGTGAAATAAATATTTTGTGTAAGCCCTTATAATTAGTATTGACAAAACACTTAGAAAGATTCGGGAGTATTACCAAAACAAAGATTTCAACTCAAAGGCGCGCCAGTTACATCTGCCCTTGGGCCCGGCCCGTCTATCTATGTCCCTGCGTACGTACAGTACTCATATTTCCGTTAATAACGATAATCAAAATTAGTCAGCCTTCAAGAAATGAATGTAGCAAGATTTCCATACATACATGAGGAAAATTGCAATTTGAAAAATATATTTCGTTTGCTGAAGAAAAGTTGAATAAAGATGCTCCAGATCAGGGATGAAAAATTAGGTACAATTGTACCTTTTTCCGACGTTTGATGACTTAAAGGTACATTAGGTACAGTCAGTAGATTTTAGGTACAATTATTATTATTGACCCATATTCGCTTTTTGATTTCTGGAAGTATATTTAAAATGCGTTCGAAGTTACTTACGGCAATTTGATTATTTTCTCTAGACTTGTTGCACCTATTAAAAGGAATCGGATAAAGTAGCAGACTTTTCGTGTTGTTGCTGGATAAAGAAGAATACTTCGAAAGTGTGTTTTTTATCTTTTTCGCCAATATTTTTCAGTAGTCAAAATTAGACAAAAACAACGCTTCTCCGATTTCTATTAGACTATAGTCTATGGATATAGGCTCAGTTAAAAAAAAAAAAACCCAAATCATGTTTAAAGTACATCATTCTTTGTATTCATGTTTTAAATAAAATTAATAAAAAAAAACTACAAATGAATGACGTAACTTTTTTTAGGTACAATCTGCCTCATTTATTTCATGATATTAGGTACAATCTGAAATTTCCATTTTTCATCCCTGCTCCACATAAACAAATTTTTTATGTTGAGAGCTCTACTAAATCTGTTTATTTCGTTTTGTGGAAGCTAAGAACTAAGCTTAAGAGTACGTATTAACCTAAGTTTTTCCACATTTTATAAGAGAAGTGGGTTAAGAGTGGAAAAAAAGAGAACTTTGTTTGTTCGAATAATTTACAATCCACTTGGGGAGGCATTTTGTTACTTTGTTGATTTGGAAGCCGGTGTGAAGTACAAGTGTGTAGGAATTATTACGGTGACCAGATACAATAAAATGTGAAGGAAGTTCAATGATTTTTACTTAACAATTAATTTTCTTCACATTTATAGAAACTGAATGTATATAACGAAAGCAATTTAATGAAAAGTTATTATTTCTTTCAATTTATATGAAAACTTGCAGAAAGGGAAAAATAATTTTTTACTTAAATTGCTGAGGAAACCGGCAGATCAACTAACTTTGTTTAATTTATTTTTTAATTTAACTAATTTTAATTATGTTTTGTTCGCATATATATGTAGGTTTGTACTTTGTTTTAATGCAAACGCATTTTCTCTTCTTCCAGAGAGATGGCTCTACTAATTAAATACTTAAAAAAAACGTAGACAATTACCCGCGTTCTTTGATATTCTTTTATTTCCTATCACAGCGCTACAAGTATACGCAGCAAACCAGCCGATTGAGCGTATGACCGACCGGCTGTTCTACCAACTTCTAAACAGGTTTCACCTTGATACAAAAACTCGCATCATCGCTCCCACCAGTCGATGCGACATCAACTCGAAAATTCCTGTTTTATATATGTATCTGTATGCGAGAATTAGATTTGGCTACGTTCAATTGCATGTGTAGTGCATATATATATTTGTTTTTGTTTTCTTTTTTTCACTGTCACATCCCTAACTTGGCTTTTGCACTGCTACCTATGTATGTATGTATATAAATATGCAAGTATGCTGTGCTGGGTATTCGATTCAGTCCGAAGATTTGGAAGCTGATGCTGGAGTTCAAGTGTTCGTGCTGCCGGTTCGCTTGCCCTCCTGCCCATCTGATACTCATTCTCTAACAACCTCTCAGTGCATACTACATACTATACGCTATTACAGGCGTGAAACCTGCTGTTGCTTGAGGGAGTCTTATTTGTACACTTTGATTGTTGCTGTATTCCATATCGTGCATTTATTTATTTTTTATTTTTTTATTTTAAGTTCATTCTCTTCTTGTCTTCTGGGTTTCATTTGTTGTTCGGAAACATATGAATGAGGCTCTTGAAACTTCTGGCTGAAAGGCTTTCTCCATGTCGAGTTCCACTCTCTGCAACTCTGTGAGAAAAACGAAGAGAGCTGTAAATAATTAGGTAAGGTATTACTGCGTCCCACTTGGAAAATATTTATTGGCTTTACATTCTGCAGTTACCAGCAATTAAACTAATTCTCCATTAGATGTTTCTTCGCTCCTGTGCTTATATTATAAAATGATTTAAATTTCTTGCTTCGTTTTTACCTCAATGTAAATTAAAAATAATACGAAAATTTTGGTGCTTCCACTTTTGCTAAGTGTTCGGCCGGGCTTCTCCTCCTATTTGTCGGTTACGCCCTGATGTTATTACACAAATGTAGGGACCTACCGTTTTACAATTTTCATGGCAGAAACACACTTGGAGTTCTCCATTTCCTGTTGACGAGCGACCGCTGTGAGCATATTAGTAGTGCAGTCAAATTAGAGTTGAAAATTGGTAATCGGGGTTTTTTTATGGGCAATTCTTCTGAGGGTGTTGAAATATTCGCTATCTTGAAAGGGACAAGTAATTTAAGGACCTTAACCGAACTAGCCTTAGTATCGATACAATGAAGAAAATCCTAGCTTTTTCGTAATTTGACTGTGCTATGATATATAGTATATTTTGCTTAGCTTTCCATGCCCTTCTTTGCACGAAAAAATTGTGCACTTAAGCGAATTTTCTTTACTACTTCAATGAGGAAGGTATCCGAACCCTATCAAAGGAAATAATGGAGGAGCACCTACCACGTAGAAATTACTGCAAGCGAAATTTTTACCGAATGGCATCTAATTATCTATATAACTACATTAATTGATAGCCATTTTCGTTGTTCGGCGAGTTGAGCCAAATAAATAAAAGCTTGTAAAAATAGGTAATTGTAGAGCCCAGTGTAGGTAAACGTAATACTTTCTTCGATAATTGATAATAGTTGCACAATTTTTAGGGCAAGTACCGCTAATGTGCAGATATGTTGAATGCATCTATCGGATGAGTTTCCTTATAAATGTTAAAAATAATGCCGCTTATGCGCATTTAGGGAAGGTATCTTAAATGTGCACTTAAGCATAAAGGCACCAAAGCAAAATATACTGTACACACTTTTCCGGCAGGCAATGGTAGTCCTCACCTGGCACTGCCTAATGGGAACACAAGCTATTAGAAAGCATCAAACGACTACTATCGTAGCTTCCGCGATGTTGAGGAAATAAAAAGTGTAGAACAGGCTGTGTTCAGAAATGCAACAAGCCAAAGCATCAGTGTCTTTTATTTCTAAACAATAATTGATGGGAATGCCCTGCTTGCGCAACTAAGTTTGAATTCGGCATTTAACATGAATGCGCATGTTGGATATTTCCATCGATTATAGTTTAGAAGTAAAAGCGACTGATGCTTCGACTTGATTTATTTCTGAACACAGGGCCTTTACCTATGCCACTGCACCACGCTGGCGAGGTCTGGTCCACGTTGATTCCTCCATTATCCTTGTGAGTGTCTGGAGTTATTTAGCGGAAATGCCAAAGATTTGAGTTGAAAGTTATTGAGTTTAACATATGAGTTTCGTGGCTTGGATATAACTATATCGGTGAAAGTTAGTCATTGTGGAACAAAATGTTCTCCCAAGCTTTGGCAAGCATTTATTCTAGGGCTAGCTAAAAGGGATCCGAATTTACAAAATTGCTAAAACTTAAGGTCAATGGTTAGTTACTTTTTTTAATGATCCTCTTTGACACGGGATTAATGTGGGTTTAAGAAAACAATTGGTTCGCGCTTTTTACCCAAAAGCTTTTGCAGTCCGTCCACATCATACCCCTCATGGTAACATAAGTATCCCTTTATTCGGAAATGCAGCAACCCAAAGCATGAGTCTTGGTGCATTCCAAAGCGTCAATCTCTTTTACATATTTCTAAACCACTATAGAAGAAAAAACTAATTTGCGCAACCTAGTAGCAAACAAGCATTAACCGCACATTTTGAACTACAATCTACTGAGGTATAGATGCTTTGTTCTTGACGTTTTGGAACGCACCCTCTCTTTTATTACTATGCTATAATTGATGAAAATGTGCAACAAGCGCGAGCACGATTTAATGCCGAAAATTAAGAATTTCCATAAATTAAAAGTTTAGAAATAAAAGAGATTAATGCTTTGGTTTGATGCATTTCCGAATATAGGGTAGATATCGCATTTCCTACGTGTCATTTAGCTCATTAAGTCACCCATTTCCCTAACCATGGCCTGCGCTCTATTGCTCTTCTCTTTGGCGCCGCTCTATGGCTTTTCCACGCATTCGTATCCCGTTTCGAACTTCGAACTGGTTTTCCGAAGCAAGCGTCGTGCCGCGCAGCATATGTTGGCCTAACCATGCTGCCTGCGCTGGTGCTGGAGTTGGTTCCTCTATTCGATAGAGTGGTGCCGTTTTGCTGATTCGCCGTTACGCCGCAGCGCTGCATTTTCAGTTCGGTTTCGTGCATTAACGTGTAAGGACGTTCGAATAACGGTGGCCGTATATTGGAAATTCGGCATTTCGTGTTGTTTGAGTGTGTTCGATTAGAAAAAAATATTGAAATAATGCAAGCAATCACGTTTAGACAACTAATTTGAAGCAACAAAAATCTGTGTAAATAACAGTTCCATGTTAAAAAAATAAAATTAAACCACTTGACGAAAAATAAAATTACGGAAGCGTTTTGTTGTGCTGCGGTACGCGACACAGCATCCGTAAACGCGTTCATTGTGTTTGAGAAGCGGCAGACACATGCCAGTAAAACGCCTCCTCCGCCTGAATGCAAATCGAAGAAAATTCGTTCTTGCCGCGCCACAAATACAAAATGATAAAATTGATGAATGAATGAAGCGCCAACGTATTGTTAGTACCTACTGGGACGCTGATATTTGCAATGCAGATTGAAATGATTGAGACAAGTGTTAGATGTTTATTGTAGAAGATGAAAATATATGTAAAAATGTGCATTCATCACATGAAATTTTCGGTTATTTCTGATGTATTATTATTTGTTTAAGAAAAGTTTCTTACAATACTGTTGAAGAATTGATGGCAAATTAGATCTCTCACCTTCGCCAAAGACAAATCATAAGAAATTCTCTGAGTACGTGCTACTCAAAAGCAATTTAAAAAATTAAGATATAAATTTTATGAGTTTTTCGCCAGCGAAGGTCGCGTCAAAGGTCAAATCATACCAAAAAGCAAGTGTGTACCAAAAAAGGTGTACAAATATATATGTATATGTAATTCAAATGCAAATTTTAATATTGTAACTAAAAATTGCAAAATGTGCGGTATTGTATAAATTACAAACAAAACACATAACGGTTCCCGTAAAAATTTTGCGCTAGTAGTAATAAAAGCATATTTATTTACGACACTAAGTGGAAAACATGTGCAAAAATATATACAAACAAAAGTGAAACAGAAATAAATAGTATTTACACGCGTAATCACTGCCGTAGTCTTCACCAGCATCAGCCCAACACTGCCTCAAGGAGCAGCCGCCGTTCCAAACAGCAAACTCCGCGCATTTGATGCTCTACGCCTTTACGCCCAATTGCCGCGACGCTGTTGGGCATTCCCGACATTGGCAGTGGCACTGACTTGCGTCAACAAGAAAAAAATAACAAAAGCTCACAAACCAAGTGCAAAGGAGCAACATCCTCTTCTTCAGTCGGCGTGTCCTAGATGTAAGTGTTTTCATAAAAATTTTACGTACGAATATAAAGCTAAAAACGCCAATCAGGCGCTTGAAAAGACTCATCGCCTACACCTTTTTGGCCGACAGTCCGCCCGCCTGGCCAAGCTGACTGGCGAAAAGCCCCATTTTATAGCTGTTTCGTTTTATTTATATCATTTGATTCTTCTCCAATTTCTACGTTTTTTACTGTCTTCTGTACCTTAACCTTCTGTTCGATCGCGTGTGGCTCTCCATTGCCCACACCACTGACAGTTTTTGCTCTGCCTTCCTTGCGGCTCGCATCTGCAGTGCTGCTGGCATTTTTTTTTTGCCTTTCTGCTGTCTTTCTTTATTTTCTGTACATACTGTATTTTCGTGTTCGGTTTTGCTATGCTTCTTTTGCACCGAAATCCTTTTGCATAGAAATTCTTGAATTTTATTGTAATTCCCGCTATGCAGGATATTCAAGGATATATTTAAGCTGCTTTATTGATTGCGCTCGGTGTTTGGGAAAATCTGTTTCATTTGCGGCTCAGTTTGTGTGTTTGGGTGTTTGTGTGTTTGGGTGTTTGTGAGAACATGGGTTTGTACTATGCGTTTGCATGTTTTTCCATGCCGTTTTGTTTGTGTTTTTTTTTATGTTTTGCTTTCGTTGTTACTCTTGTTGCTTTTCCTTTTCGAGTTGCCCTTTACGCACTCTTTTTGCCTGTACTGCAAGAAGGTTTGTCAGGCGGTTTGTCGGCGTGTCTGCCGTGTGCCGCATGCCTGCCTGCTTGGCAGTTTGCATTTCGCCTGTTGTTTAGTCACCAGTTACATATTTCACTGCCTGTTTTTCTTTCGGGGTTGAAATTAAACCATAAGAAGAGGACTCTTCGTTGTAATTTTGTTTCCTTATCGATGAATGGCGGCGAATGGTTGTATGAATGAATGTATGCATTGAATGCGTATTTGATTGTAAGAACAAACACGAATTGGTAAACGGATTTATTGACAATTTTCAGCAGTAGAAATCAAATCATTTGGGGGTTACCTAATTGTCTGTCCGATTTTAATCGATTTTTTAAATTTTGGAAAGTTAGTTTTTAAACAATTGTTCAGCTGTTTATCAGAAAATATTGGCGTTTCAGCATATGAACATACATATCGACCCCATTTTTTCGAAACTGACTTTTTGATGACAACGCATCCTGGTAAAATATTGTAGGGGCTATTATTTCATGTACGCGAAATTATCGAATGAGCTACACAAAAGTATTTAGTAGTAAAAAAATTAAAAAAAACTCAAAGGTAGAAAAAACATTCTCCTGTAAAATTTGGTTTCTAGAACATACGATAATTTCGCACGAAGGGGTCGATATATAACATCCACGGACATAACTACCACGGAACCATACATAAGTTTCATGGAAGTTATGCCGAGAAATTACTACTTTCGATCGATTTTTGGTCCATGGAAGTAAATTCAGACTTAACCTCTACAGATATACATACATATATGCCAGAAATATGTTCCATGATATTTTTGTATTAGATAAATGAGCCGCTCACTGAAAAATTGATTAACTTCACTTAAAAAAAACATTAAATTTATGTGTGTATTCTTCTTAGGATATATATATTTAACGAACGTGGGGTTTCTGTTTAAAACTGCGCACAACTTCGGCTTTAGAAAGCTACAATGCTGCATAACTTAGGACAACGTTTTTCTATTAACGGGAATTTCTTTCGCTTCTAAGGAGGATGTTATTTTTACCCAATTTTCGTGAGTTATAAATGATGATTTTCTGCCGGCGGCTAAGAAAAGAAAACAAATCGATAAGGCCTCTATGCTATTGTTAGAGCAACAAATAAATTACGGATGAATTAGATAAATGACTTGATCGAATTTTCCAAAAAAATCCGATTTAAAAAATCGTCAAAATGCCGCTTCGTAATTTTCTTTCAAATGTTCTTCTTTCTGGTGTAAACCGATTTTTTGATCTCGGTGTGGTTTTCGACTCAGGCTTTGTAATCCAATCCCCTCATTCCCAAAGAATCGAATAAAGAGTAAAGTAATTAATACATTATGAAATGATGTCAATCGGAAATCATTGCTTCATCTTGTCGTCAATGTTATTGTGGCTTATTAACATTTTCTTTTTAATATTGTTATTGAGCTTTGTACCACGATTATTACCTTGTTTATACCGACACATAAAGCGCTTTGACCTAGTTCGCTACGCTTCAAACCAGTAGCATAAACGAAATTTCAATACGCTCAAAAATTCAAAAGTGTATAGACTTGAATTTGTGTTCAAATCGGTGCTTTATTTCTCACATCTGTTGGAAAACAGGTATGAACCAGCTGGTTTTCTTTATACAGCCCGTTTTAAATTTGAATTATTATTATAATAAATTTGAATTATTGTTCGCTTCCATTTCGGTCAATCGCGCAAATTAATTATTAAAGAAATACCCAAGGAAAACAACAAATTTTGTTTACTTTTGAATACGATTTCAGCGAGGGTGCTGTAAAGACACAGGTATAAGCTTTTGAAAGATATATGTGCTGAGTTTAATCGGTTTATTGAAAATGCGGTTCTTACATTGGTATAAACAAGGTATATGCTTATCGGGAATAATGGCAAAAGCAACAAAGTCTAAGCGGTCCCCTCATCAGACTTCTTTTTCTAGACTTCAGCAGGAATCGAACCCGCTGTTGGCTCACAAATTTCCTCTTTTCTTTTGGAGGTTGCGCTAGTGGTATATCCCGGGTGCATACAAGTCCTCCTGCACTTGGCCCTTCCTTTGGGTTCGCGGGCGCACTTTTTTTGTTCATTGTCCACCCATGGGTGTGAAGTGGAAGAATCGACATGCCCAAGACAGCACAATCATTGTACTTTTATGCTCTTAATAATGTCCATGTCGATACAAAGCTAGCACAGCTCGTCATTCCATCTTCTTCGGAGCTTGTAGCCATAGATTTTGCGTCGAATAGTTCCCTCGAAAGTCTCATACTTGTTCGATATCGTCTATATTTCTACGTCATATAAAACGACACGGGCGTAATCTTGTTCTACTTCAAAGTTATAACCGCCGACAGTCACATGTGTTCCAAAAATTTTTAAGTGTCGGAAGGAAATACTTTTTCTTGCCCTCGTTCACCGCTACGGCGCTTACGTCCCTGGTTCTCACTAAATTGCAGGCTTATTCCGCGGTGAATGGGACAAAAAACAGGATCTTGTTGATTGGACAAAGTACACAGAGATTCCAATCGTTGGGCATGTATGTATTCAGCAGACCAAATTCTGGTTAAGAGCTGGTACCTCCTCCTACTAGATTTTCGGCGCCGGCTTTGAGCAGCTCAGCCGGTAAACCGTCTGCTTCAGGGCTTCATTGTAGAGTTGTCAAACTATCGATGGTACTATCGATAGTTTCAATTTTTTTAGACTATCAATACTCATTGATAGTTTGTTTTTTATACTATCAAATATATCGATAGTTTAGTAGGACTATCGAACTTTTGTTGGTAATACCTGAATTTTTTAATTTGAATTAAAAATTTTGTTTTTTAGTGTGGTGTCGACGTCATATTCAAATATGCACGTATTTAGGCCAACATACATACATGTGTTATTCGTAAATCCTGTTTTGTTTGTATAACTTGTGCTTGTTTTTGAACTTTCTAAAAATAGAAGTATTTTGGCTAAGCAGTTACTTAATTTTGAATAAATATAACTTTTATGAGATAATATTTATTTCACTATGATCCTGTAAAAACAAAGAAACCTAACTGATTTAGCGTTGTCGATAGCGCTATCGATAGTGCTCTCGATAGTTTTGTTTTTTTGAGACTATCGATAGTTTGACACCTCTACTTCGTTGGTTCTAAGCCACATTACTGCTATACTCACCTCATCTTGGTCGAGTGGAATAACGTGAGCTTCATCTCTATACATGGGTTCGGTTTCTGCCTGCCAGCATCACAAGCTGTTCGCACTCACGCCTTTTTGCCTTTATTTTGTTTCTTTTGGACATACGTCTCTCCTCCCTCTCCCTCTCTCTCCCGAAAAACACCGTTAAATTTCACCGAAAAAAATCTAAACTTATCTAAACGATTTTACTTGATCAGAAAAATAAGGATAAACAAGTGGTTTTTAAGCAAAAAACAAAACCGACTTCAATTCTCATACAAAAATTTAAAAGCACCGCTAATTTCTTCATGAACCAATGATCGGATCTAGACCAAATTAGTATGGGACCACCTCTACGGCTCTACCTTTCTTTTAAAAAGAAGAGGAAGAACAAGAAAGTTGAGGGGTTAATGTAAATTATACTGCAGCCCTTTGTTTATTAATATAAAAAAATGTCTTAAGCATCTGCCTGGAGCCAACTTATTCGTTTAACTCTCTACAACAGTCACGCAACAACTATTCAGCTGCATTAACCAGCAAAGAAATGAGTATGCAGCAAGTGTCCACAAATAATGCGGCACGTTTGCGCGAAGAAGTCGCCAAAGCCATTGCCGTCGCAACCAATTACGCTAGAAATCCACAGCAGCGACACTTTGGTGTTAAAGTCAAGTCCAAAAACGGAAAAACGCGCAAGGAAAAGAATGTAGTGATTGAAATAAATAGAATTGCAGAAAAATTAAGAAAGATATGTATACGGAAAAAGTACACAAAGCATAAAAGCTTGAGAATAGAAAATTGTTAAATAAATTAACGCTCTGGAATGTGACAACACGCGCTCCTTTTACGGCACAGCACAGTAACAACAAAGTGGAGCAACATCGTCTATGCTGTAATTGCAAAAACAAGAATAAGTAGCTGAAGTCAAAGCTAAGTGTATCAGCAAAAAAAATATATATATAAATGCGCTCGTAGAACTTAATCCAGCACGGAGCTGGTCTTTGGCTTGGTTAACTCCTCGCCGCTTGTGATGGCTTGGCCTCTGCGAATTGCCGACTTGAGCAGCAATGAACGGTGCCGCAGCTCTATGAAATGCAGTAGGCGACATAAATTCAAATTGAAATATG